ACCCCAGAGCCTACACATCCTGTCTCAGCCCAGCGAGGATACGGCTAGACTGCAGGTGTTTTTCAGGATTCCAGAGATATTCCAGAAAAAACTCTTCTGCATCCAGGGATACATTTGTTCTTCCGCTTCTTTTAGTGGAAGAGCAAACATGATCTTTCAGTCACCCCTATATTCCTCTTTCCACAAGGAATAACGGGGCTTCCAAAGAAGTGGTTTTTCTGACATTTGGTCCAGTCTAGACAGGCCAAATGTTGGAAAAACCTCTTCCTACAGAAGAATTGGGGGGAAAAAGCAGCAGTATAAGGGTTGGGGCTAGCAAGCATGGGGAGAAAAAAGCAGCAGTATAAGGGTTGGGCGCTAGCAAGCAATGGAGAGGAGAATAGAGAAGGTGGGGCTTCAAGCAAGGGGTGGGGCAGTAGATCTTGGCTTGTTCTGTCATTAAAAAGTGATCTTGGGTGTAAGAAGGTTGGAGACCACTGCTCTAGGGGGTCTCTATTACTCAACTATGAGTTCCTGCTGGGGAAAAGCTTTCCAAGGACTACGCATGTGGCACACACACACCTAACTTGGAATGCACATGAGCAATCACTCTAAGAATGTGGCTTCTAGTCTCTTCTTCTTAGACAGTCAATAGATTTTTTTTATAATATACATAACTTTGCAAACTGTAAACAAGGAATATAGACAAATTACATTTGGATCTCTTTCACAATATATCCTTGCTCCCGAGTTGTGCAGCTGTACATTATGTAGTATACTTTCAGAGGGGGAAAATGGCTGCAAGTATTTCATAGCATATAGTTAAGTACTAAATAGTCTTGCAAAAATATTCATTAGTTCAGATACAGCTGACTAAAGAAAGGTGCAGCACTAGGTCTGGGCAGGGAGCAACTGGAGACTCTTCATATGAAGAAACTTGGATGTGTAATGAATGGCTGCTGCAGTGCTAGTGTGCATGGAAGAAAGTTGGAGACAAAGGATTATGTCTACACTTTGTTTTAATGTTAATGGGTCCCTGCAGACATGCTGAGTGTTCCACTCTATTGAAGCATTCTGGGGAATGTTTGTGTTCACCTTCAGCAGCACCTGCACGACCCTTTAATGTATGTTAGGGTGCATCAGAAATCATCTGCCAGCATGCATGTTACATCATATAGACAAACCCTTAGACTGTAAAGAGGGGATCAAAGTTTCTGCTAGTTCATGCTAGACTTTTCAAACACTAAACAGTTGGTTTTTAAATTTTAAGACTGCACCATTGGATTCCCCACCGTAGTGCCTGTGGGCTGACCCTGACTCAGGCCAGCTGCAAATGTAATGCTTGGAACCAAAACTCTAGGTCCGCAATACCCTTGAAATAACACATTAACAAAATTGCAGCTCAGGTTTAGGAAAAGATTTTTTTTTTTTAGGCCTAGCAACAGCACCTATAGCAAGTGTTCTTTAAATAAGCAAACACTATGAATCCTGCAGACTGCTGATTTATGGGATAACATTGCATTGCTTTTTCTTTAGCATCTCATCTGGATAATGCTTGTGGTTTAAGACCCCTGTAGCATCCAATGGAAACAGTGCAAGGTTAGAGAACAGCATGGACATAGAGGTACACTCCCCGCTTTTATTGGTGCCATGGGCTCTTCCTCACCTACTCCTTCACATGAACAGCCTAAAGCAGTGTTTCCCAGTATTATTTGGCTATGGAGCCCTTTTGAACTCAAAAGAATTTTGCAGAATCCCTGACCCTTATTTTCACTTCACAGAACCCTAGGCTTGCACAGAACACCATTTGGGAAACACTGGCCTAAAACTTTTATTTTTATATAAAGCAAACATTTACAATGTTTGAAAGGAAATTTGTAGCAAAAGTTCCAACACCCTTCCTTGTCTCCTTACCCACATCCTACTCTTTTGATTACGCTAGAAACCCTTTATAGGCCACATTCCTCTTGCAGCCTTCTAGTACAAGTTCACAGGTTCACATAACATCAACTTAGTTGGATTGCACTCAACTTCTCATTGGGAAACATTTATAGCTTCTGATTTTGGTTTTAATTGAAAAAGCCCTCCCACCCCTGTACCAAAACTGTTTAGTGTCCCAGGGAGACTACTGGAGTAATAATGTAGACCAGTGTTTTTTTGGTAAAGTACCTCTTTTTCAAAAAAAAATGTAGTCCCAGTGCCTACAGTTTTCAGATAGATTTTTTTTTCTACCCTTGCAACACATTTGTTTAAACAACTTCATTGTAGCTGGGCAGGTGATGAAATTTAAGGTGTAAAAAGTACAAAAATAATAAAGCACTGTAGAACTTCAAACAAAAATTCAGTTTTCTTGAAATTTCAGTTGTGTTGACATACCCCCCACACTTCGAGTAGCCCTAAGGGTACTTGTACCGCTGGTTGTGAAACACTGATCTGACTACAGGATGTGATTTCTAAAGCACACTTAATGTGCTGCACATTAAGGGTTTATGCAAACTTGCCTCATGCATACTAAAGATCCCTACTGTGCTTAACACACTAAGAAACAGTACTATTTCAAAAAGCCCTGAAAACCGAATTTTTGGACAGCTGCCTAAAAGTCAAGTCGCTAAAAATATCACTACTACAAAATGAAACAAACCCCAGAAAGATATGTAGGGCATATATTTTATAAAAGAGCCATTAAACAGTCTATTTCAATCTCCTCCTGTAATTCTAGGCACAAGCAACTTTTACAACTGTTTTTACTTTAACGAAAGGGTTGTGTATTTAGATGAAAAGAAGCCTTGAAGCTCTTCTGGTGACTACTGTTCATTGATAGTTTTCATTGTTCTTCCTTGGTCCTTTCAGTCTCATTTAGAAACATAGGATACAAGCATATACACACTGAAATTACAGAATAGGGCCATTGAGTTTCTAGAAACCATATTTCTGACAAATGGACAGCAACAAACCACAAGAAAAGTTTTGATGTGGAGAATTTTCACTGTAAATGGCAGTGACTTTTATTTTAAGCCTGTTCTTTACATTAAAAAACTTTACAAAATTGAATAGTAAGGCAATTCCTCAAATGTCAGTCACTGTGAGCCAGATAGTTGTCATTCATATTTAATACTACACTGCATTCACACAGGAGCCAAACTCTTGATGCAAAAGCTTTTTAAAAAGCTAATTAATAAGGCGCAAGCAGCTGTACTAGGTCATTTACACAGTATTAAATCTGTAAGCAGGAGAGATCAAACATAGGTCTTCATCAACAAAGCAAGTTTCTTTTCCTACTAACCAGGCTTGGAAGGCTTTAGTTTTTAAATGATTTAACACATTTATGGAACTTTATCCAATGGAACATTTACACTAGTAGGAAAAACAATTTCACTTACTGAAAATGGATGACACATTTAAAAATAATTTGATAGATCTTAAGCATCATGCAATTTAAGCACTCAATCCTCAGACAGTGCTACTTAGAAACTTTTCTTTAAAAGTCTGAACATGAGAAATTCTTATTGATGTGTGGGCAGAAAGACTCTGAACTTCTCAACTGATGTCTAGTTAGCTGCAAACCATTGTTACCCTCCTCAAATCTCTAGCCATCTTCTGAGGGAGGGAATATATTTACCTTTGCTTGAGCAGAGTTGAGAGTTACAGGTTGGTAAGCAATACCCCCCCCCCCCATCTTCTCACTACTGCTGACTCAAAGTAAGGGTGGGTTGGAGCAAAGTCTGGCTTTCTTCCAGTTTAAGCAATGGATACAGCATTGTTTGGGCTCTCCCTCTTTTCTTTTAAGTTCTATTTTTTAAAAACAATTTTAAAAATTGAGAGCCTTTTTGGTTAAGAAGAAAATACAAATTAACTACTAGCTGCCACACCTAATTGGGGTGTATCTAAATAGAGAAACTGATTATATAGCCTGGGTATTTGAAATGGAGGTGTTCTGGCCTTTGTGCCTGACAACTGTTTGTCAAGCTCTTAGAGTACCAACATTTAAGTTACTTTTCTCCTCTTGTTCAAATGAAACTTTTCCATGTCCACTCTATTACTTTCCTGAATATTGCAGGACTTACTGCAGCCACAGTTATCAAACTAGAGTGCATAAAAGGAATGGAGAGCAAAAAGTTGAGAGAAAGAAAAAAGCTGAGTGACAAACTTAGATGAGGGGATTTACATCATAATTTACAGGAGGACTGAAATAGAGCATGGGGGAGGGGGAGAAATGAAAACATTTGTTAAAGGGTCAAAATTCAGAGAATTATGTTGGGGCTTATTTTTTTGCTAGATTTTATTTAAGCAATACATTACTTGATTTAACTTTTTATAATAATCCTTGTGGAGATGTGAATTATCCAAAGTAATCTTTAGTACCTTGTTAAATTGCATCCCCATTCTCAAAGTATTTGTAATAGGTTAACAGTAGGAATGTCTCTTCAGGCTTTCACTCAGGTAGAAAATCCAATTATCTGAAATGGGGTTTGCCTCAGTATTCAGGGTTTGCCACTACACTAGTAAATTTTCAATATTTCATAATCCAAGATTAGCAGGCTACCTTCAGTCAGTCTAGGTCAGTGGTTCCCAAACTTTTTGGCATCACGCCCCCTTTTTGATTTGAGAAATTCTCATGCTTCCTCTACCCCCCGCCCTCTCCCAAATAGCAGCGAAACTTGAGCAGGAAAAAATCCCACATCCACACCGATCAGGGCCGAAAAAACAGTCGCTGCCCCTTTAATTTCTGGGGGGGGGGGGGGTTGCTGACAAAAAAAAATTGCCCTTTTAAGGGCAGAGCAGGCATCGTCCTTTTAAGGCAGCCATTTTAAAGTGTGCCTGGGACACTCCTTCCTCCCTGCACCCCCAGCAAGCCTGAGTATTCTTCACATGGTATTTTCTGAGTTTTTTTTTACTTGAACTGGGATCTCTCTTGGGGAAGGGGAGGGGGTTATGTGGTGACTGG